ACATTTTAAAATGCCATGTTCCGATGCTTCTGTTCTATCCTTCAACGAGACTGATATCAGAAAATTTGCTCATTCTTTTGTATTACAGAATGTGAGTCTTTATTGTTTCAAGGATAAGGGAATTTGGTTGATAATAGCTGGAATCTCAGGTTTAGAAGACAGCTCAATGAAAGAGAACTTCCTGAGTGGAGCGAGCTCTCATCTTCTTGAAAGTAACATATGAGTCGAAGTGGATAATGGATATTATGCAATTTTCAAGTCTATGTTTTTTTTTCTTGCGATACGCAGCAAATCTATATAATCAATCGGAAACTATCAACTGTATAACATAAAAGCACTACCATCTGCAAGTCTGCTTGTTCACGTCCAAAGGCAAGAGATCTTGAAGTACGGATAAATTTCTTTAGTGAATCTGGCCAGTATTCCTGAAAGATTTTGTCAATCAGAAACTTAGACTTCAGTACATTAGAGTAAATGCACTCATAACAAGAAACACAAAGAAAAGCTCTATCACATAGTTTCATAAATTCCTTAAAATGGATTAAACTATCAGCAATATTTCCAGACAAAACACTCCCCTGTGACCAATGCTCATAATTTTTGTACTCGGATACTTCTCAACAACGATGATGCATTTTTAGAAATATATCATAACTACAGTGACACACAGAAGGCTATCATCAACCTTTTTTACTCTAGCCATATTTCGCCACTCATTTTTCATTTCTGAGTTCTTGCCATTTCATAACTTCAGTTCTATTTAGTCTAATTAGTCAAAGACATCACACATGCCCCCTAAGGATGTACCAATATTTAATAAGAAATCTACTGACAGTGTGAAAAAATTAATTCAATTTTTAAAAGGAACAAAAAAAAAAGACGTCAACATATGGAGTTAGTTAACAACACCCCTAAATATGGGAGTTTTTTTTTAGTTCACCCTTATTTTGAAACCCAACTAATCAATTATAGATGTTGATAAGCGGATTTATATGCTCCCCAAGCAAACACGAGGTTAGTCAGAAATCCTTATGGTATCTGTTTCAGAATAAAATAATAATATATAATAAAATTCAATCCAATACACATCTATTTTCCCAGAAATTGAAACTGGATTTACACAAAGCAATCTGTCATTGTACAGTCTCAGCATTCTTCCATAGAATTAATCATCCAACAACATACCAACACAGATAATAACTACTTTGAAAATAATAATGATCAATTTCAGTTCCGTGAATATTTCTAAAATACTTGACAGGTACGAATCAATATTTTGATCGATATTATACTTTGATCCAGATAGTCAGACAATTATGTCAAAATTAACATGCATATAGAGGATTATGTCCTAAACATATCCAAATAAGACTTATAATGGATCATTGAGAAGGTGTAACTGTCAATTCAGTCAAATACTACCTGCGTACTTTTGTTATGGACAAAAATCTTACAAGTGAGCTCAAATCTAGCTTCAAAACTAAGCTTCAAACGTCCAAACACGAGCTAATTGAAATAAAATCAAGTCTAAAAAATGTTCTCCAATTGCAGACACACCTGGACAGCTCCAGAAGGAATTAGAAGCAGATTCTTCACATGTTCCTTGCGCAAGCACTCCATCCATTCCTCATCAACAGCTTCCCATAGTCTATCCTGTAAAAGAGAATGGAAGCAGTATCATGATAGAAATCATAAAAGAACATCGACGAGTGAAAAGGAAAAATCAAAATCGAATTACAAGCTACACACCAAGCAGATTCCAAAACTTGTGCGAATGAAAAATTAAATCAACAAACCTTAAAAAAATTGACGACGGGAGCATTGATCAGGAACGAGTAAGGTCTAATGAAGTCGGCGATGGCTTTTATCCATTGCAGAGTATTGGCGGCAGTGTCGCACTTGTACTTGCAACTGCTACTCCCATTGCCGCCAAAGCCGGTGGCCATTGTTTTGTCGCCAAAATCAACGATGGCGCCGCAGATTACATATACATTAACGAATTGGGCGTAAATGGTCGCGTCTCAAAATCAAATTCTCTTACGTGGATTTTATGAAAACGATTTTAAAAATTAAAATATTTAATACAAATTTTGGATTATTTTTTATTTTTTATTTTATTTTTATATGTAAATAAATCGATCTTTTTATTTTTTTTATATTTAAAATCTACTATATTTATTTTTTTCGTGTTAAATACTCTTTTCTTTTTTTTTTTTACTAAAATTCTACGTCCTTTTTACTTATAATTTAGGGTTTATTTTCGTGTATCGAGTAATATCGAGAGCTCTAAATGGACCATAATAGTCGGTATTATAAAATGGCCTTTTGAAAACAACGATGCATACAAAAGAGGACATTCTTTTGAGAGTATAGTTTTGCAAATTCTACTATTCCGAGGCAAACGTCGTTAATTTTACAATATAGATCAAATAATTTTAAAAATGAGGCTAAAATAAGACTGGTAAAAGATCGTGCAATCTAACAATATAAACGATTGGAACTCGTTAAATATTATATAAATGTATAATTCTTTAACAATGTTTATTTATAATTTAATTTCGAGCTATCTTCTCATCCCATAAATGGATATATAATTATGTGTGTTTTTTTAGTGAAAATTAAAATTGATAAATTTCCTCAAAAGAAAAAAAAGAAAGCTGACCGCTACTAAATATTGTCTTATTTGGGCTTTCCCTTTTGGGCTTCCACATAGCGAAACCAGTACTCGTATAGATATTGTCTTATTTGGGTTTTCTCTTTCGGGTTTCCACACAGTGGAACCGGTGCTCATCTAGATATTATCCTTTCTGGACTTTCCCTTTCGGACTTTCACACAGCGGAACTGGTGCTCATCCTAATATTGTCCTATTTGGGCTTTCCCTTTCGGGCTTCCACACAGCAAAACTGGTGCTCATACAAATACTATCATCTTTAGACTTTCCCTTTCGGGCCTCCACACAGCGAAACTAATGCACATCCAGATACTCTCATCTTTGGGTTTTCTCTTTCGGGCTTCCCCTCAAGACTTTAAAACGCATCTTTCAGAATTATGCAGCAGAATCGGTGCTCGGTTTTCACACCCTTATAAAATTGTGTTTTATTCTCCTCCCCACCCAACGTGAAACAGTGGGATCTCACAAAAAAAAAAAAAAAAAAAAAAAAATATATATATATATATATANATATATATATATATATATATATAAAAAGGAAAGAAACTATATATATAAAAGCAAGAAAAAAAAAGAGGAGGGAAAACGTAAAACGTGGCAAAATTAGATGATGCCACGTGGCTCACAGTGTTTATTTGAATAAACAAAATAAAAATATAATGATAAACAAATAAAAAATACAAAAGAAAAATAATAAATGATTTGATGAAGTGCCACATCTGGGTCACGTGGTTCCATGGATTTTCGAAAAGAAACAAGCCTGAAAAAAAAATAATAATAATAAAATATAAAATTAAAAAAAATAAATAAAATATTAAGGACTGTCGTAAATCTGAGGGGCAATGGAATGAGTGAAGCGATTCGGGATATCTCGGCAGGCCATGAGGACAGCCAGTACCAACCTCTCTCTCACTCACTGGGGGGGGGGGGGCCCTCCCTAGGCCTACAGCTTGGCCTTTTCCTCCTTATCATACCCTACTTTTGTATTTACTTTTAACCCTCCTGCCATTATTTATTATTACTTTTTACCCTCCGCCCTCCCAGTTACACCTCTCTCCTAATACACTCCCAACATGCATCACGTTCCGCGTGAGAATTTTAATATTTTCCCAAAACAATAAATTGCTGTTCCCAAATTGGTTAACTTGGGGTTTTGTTATAAATGGTGAATTTCATTGATTTAGATCAAGAATTACCATTTTTACTGGTTTTTAACTCACTTCACTTCGCTTAATGTAGCACAAAATAAATTTAAAAAATTATATAAACTCCTACTTTTAGCCTAATATTTCACCTGAATCGACCCTCTATCCTCTAAGGAGAATTTTAGTTTCAAAGTCCGGTTCAAATAGGAGAAGTACGATATGCTAATATGCCTTCGATGATCCACATCTCAGGATCAGCTGACAAGCACATTGAACTATCCATATGATTGAGAGAGCTTTTACAACCCAGGCACAATGATACAACTATCAAGGGCGCGCTCTACCACTGAGCTAATAGCTCGTCGTGTGTGCCTCCCACTGAGGCCCACGATGCCAAAAACGAGAGAAATCCCATCCCTTTCTTTTCCTTTTTCGCCCCCATATCGCCATACAGGAGGGATACAAGGACGTTAAAAAGGGATCGATCAAATCTCACATATTTCGACTATAAAATAACATTTATAGTGTTTTTCTTTAAAATTTTATTCATTTTGAATGGATACATTTAAGAATAAATTACCATTTTTCTTTTAATTTTAAGGTTTAGATGGCAATATTATCTAAATTTAAGGTAAACTTTGATTAAATTAAAAAAATTATGCATTAAATTTTTGCTAAAATTTTCGTTATGAGTGATTTAAATAGAAAAATAATTGAATTGGATTGGATCAGAGTCCGAGGCATATAAAAACCATTCAACAGAGAGCAGACAGGGACTGAGCAAGTTCTATTTTGAATACACTTTAGCGTCATTTCCAATACTCCCTAAAGAAACAAAAGATACCAATAACCTAAAATTAAAAAAAAAAAAAAAAAAAAAGTTATATTATCAAAGTAAGAGCCACCCCCCTGCCCGCACCTGCCCGTTGCCCCTCAACTTGACCAACCGTCTCCCTCTTCCAGTTTTATTCTTTTAAAAGTTATAAATCAGCAAAACGACACCACTTTGGAATTCATGGAAAGAGAGTATCTCAAATGCTCCCATTCCTCCGCGCGTGTTTTTCAAACGCCACTTCTGTTTGAACTGCAAAACGGTGACGTTTGGTTGTCCTACCAATTAGAATACTCGTAAAATTATTGCTTCTAAAAATAGGAAATTCTTCGACTGGACTGGTGGATTCCGTCAGGCTCCAGCGATCCGGTTTCTGCAGTGTCTCGTCTGGCCTTTGCCTCCACCGCCGCCGTAAGTCGCTTCGGTTCTTTTCTGCGGCGAGGAAAACAGCTGGCTGAACGCGAACTTTGATGACCCCCTCAGCGAGCTCATCGGAACGTTCAGCACCGGCGGCACTCTTACATTCGCGGAGTATGACCTTTCGATACTGCTGTGCTTCAATCTCGGTCCGCCATTGAAGCTGCTCGGACTACTCGAACTCCTTTCCAGACTCTGAAACACTATTTTCCCTGAGGAGTTCATTCTCGGACTATCCATGGATACTTCTCTGCTTTTCACTCTACCTGATTCCCCTGGCGGCCGACGAACCGGGCTACGCCCTACTCTCTTCGCTTCTGATCGCAATGCTATCGGCTTCACCGTATTTAACCGATTCTTTGATTCACGATTGAACTTTGATGGCTTGTCCGAATCGAGTGAGAGTCTAGGGAGATCGTCGAGTGAAAGACCAGAGGATGAGGAAGAAAGAGAGAGGCGAGAAGAGGATATGGAAACTGACTCGCAGTCCAAATCTTTCAATAATGGATGATTTAGAGTATCCGAGGACTCGGAGGACACTAGCTTGGAATTCCTGTGGAGAAATTGCTTCAGAGATTTCATTCGTGAGCTCGATGAAGACAAATCCGTCTTCTGATTTTCGCTCTTCGCGGCTATAGAACTGGTTATCTGATTAGCCTTCTTCAGCCCTAGAATCTCCCTCCACCGACTCGAGCACCTCGGAGCACGAGGAGAGAAAGAGTACGGATCCGCATTACCAATTTCCGTCACTCTCCGCAGCGTCGTTGTATTAGGCGACCGCGATCCAATCTCCGTCGCGGAGAGTTCTTCCTTGACCGACGATTTCAACGACGGAAGCTGCAGCGGCACGAGTTTTCCGTTGAAGAAGAGTTCATTAGCAGGAATCAGAGTAACCGGATGTTCCAGCCTAAACTCAAAATCACTAGCCGAACCTTCCAGATCCGTACCTGAAATCGCCGGCCTACTCGCATGAGAAGTATCAGTAATGGAGGAAGGACTAAGTTCAAAGCCGGAGAGATTGGCGGACGAGTCGTCGGGAAACTCGCGACTGAAGGATACGCGAGGGCTCAACCAACCGTAAGAACTGTAGGTGGCCCGTGAGCCGTCGAGGAAGTTTTCCGGCGGAATTCCGACGTTATTGATGCACGCGGAAGCCATGGATTCTGGCAATCATGCAGAGCTTGAGATTCAACGCAGTTGGAGTGAACCGAAGAATCCGACGTTATTGGTGCACGCGAAAATGAGGAAGGAGCGTGTTTCGTTGCTCAACTTATACGCACAGCTCTAGGTTTCCAATTTTTATACCCTCGTTGCTTCGCGTGCATTTGAATTTCATTCACAATTTAAAAATAATAATAACAAAACAAGGAAAAAAATAAAGAGTCACGTGCAAGGAGCGTGAGGGATATTTTTTTTTCATGATAAAATTTTGTTTTTTTTTTCTCCACTTGCAAACAAAATAATAGACATTCAAAGATTTTGTTAAATAATTGCAATTTTTTAAGATGCATTTAATTTTTTTTTATTTGCAGAAAAAAAAATTGTACCCATAATTATAATTAAAATTTTAAATTAATAAAAGTGTCTTTTAAAAAAATAATTTTAAATGGATATTGTTAATATTTATTTCAAAAACATCCTTATAATTTTCAAAAATAATTAAAAAAACAACTTTAAATTTTTTTAAAATTTAATGAGTCTTTAAATTTTTTAAAAACTTTAAAATTATTTTTACTTTTTTTAAATTAAAAAAAAATACATTTACTTTTAAAAATATTTTGTTAAAATTCAAGGTTATTTTTTAAACTTCTCGAAAGCTTGAGATTAATATTATTAATTTCTTTTTTCATTTTTTCATTTTTTTTGCACAATTTATTTAAATTCGAATTTTTTAAAATGTTGTGTTAAATAATAATATATATTTTTAATAATAGGTGGCTAATTTCCAAATTAGGTGGGGCCCACGCGTATGGCCATGGGCACCGTCCGCATGGAAGACCGGCCCTGGCTGCCTGGAATATTCAGATAATGTCTATCTTTGAGATCAATCATAATTTTGGATTCAAAGTAAGAGATTTTATTAGTCCATTTTTAAGAATAATAATCTTTTATGTGACTGTATAATTAATTAAATAATAATAACAATAATAAACATAATAATTGTCATATATATATATATATATATATATATATATATATAAATATTTATTTATCATATCTAATTTTTATTTTTATTATTATTGTTTGTAGTTGAAAGACCACATCCACTAAGAAATGATGATGTGTTTATAATTAAAAAATACTTTCTCAATTGCCATGAGGCATTTTAGAGAAGCCCAAAACAAAGTCATGAGAGCTTGTGCGGACAATATCATACTATTGTAGAGAGTCGTGTTCATCTAACATGGTATCAGAGTCATGCCCTAAACTTAGTCGTGTCAATAGATTAGTAAATCCTCAAGTGTCGAACAAATAACTCCAAAAGAAAAAGGAGTCAACCCTCCTCGAAGGCATAGTAAAAAATGACTAAGGCTCCAAATGAGTCGAGTTTCGATTAAGGGGAGATGTATTTTGTTCGAGGGGAGATGTTGGATGATAAAAGTCTCACGTCTGTTAATTTAAGGAATGCTCGTGGGTTTATAATAAAAAAAATATTATCTCCATTGGCATGAGGCATTTTGTTTTTATTTTTATTTTTTATTAATATTTATTAGAGTAAAAACCTACCATTAAGATGGTGACCAATTTGAAGTTGGAGTGTAATTAGATAAAATTGGAAGATTAATATTAAAAATTAGTATAATTTGGGGGGGAAATACCTTGACACATTGCTACTCCAAAGATTCTTTTCGGAATTGGGCTAGAAATTCTTCTCTCTGATCTTATCTCCCACGATTGCGCCGGCGACGTCGAACCAGTTAGCGGATTCTTCTGGATTCGAAGCACGAAGTTTAGAGAGACTGCGAACTACGGTAGGTGGTGATGTCCCGTTTTACTAAAATTTATCTATGGAATTCGATTATCATTCCATTCTCGTATTGCTTGATTTTTTAGTATGAATGGAAGCTAATCTCGAGGAAACTTTTGCTTATTGCGGAGTTCTAACCTAGATGCGTTGAGTGATCCTTGTTCAAAAATTCCAGAAAATTAGCGATTCGCTAGTCATGCGCTGTGCTTTTTGTTCCAATCCTCTCGTTGAATGTTCTTCTTCCAGTGATCTTATACTATTATCAGTTTCTTGCATTCATCTGGATGTTCATTTCGTTGGTTTGTAGATAATTTTTTTAGAAAAGTATAGCAGATATAGTTGTCAGTTGCTGCGCATTAACTATATTCTGTTCTAGTATTCAAGAATTTGCGATTGAATCTGTATGATTATTTCCGAATAATTGCGGTAGTTGCGAGCTTAATTTCATGGAAATTTCTTGTTCTCGTGTTTTGCTTAAAATTTTGTTCCAGACAGTCGACCCCCGAGATTTATTCTTAGTAGCTATTAGTTTTGAATTTTCTCTCGTCGATGGCACACTCGTTACATCTTGAAATTGTGGAAACTATTTTCATTTTGTTGTTTTTTGCCTCACATTATGGATTTTTTAATTGGTTCTATATTATGCTGGTCACTATCGAACCTATATGTGTTCGGAGAAAGATGGGCGATTACGATTGTGACAATGAACTTGGCGATCTCTTTCAGGTATTGGCTGAGATGCACAGTCCGGAGAAAGTACTCGACGATCCTGCCAATGAGGACAGCAGTGTCTCTGTCGAATTGGAGACTTCCATTAGTCGAAATGGCGATCTCAAGGAAGAAAATGATCTTGCAAACACGAATTTGGAAAACTCTAATGCTCTAGCAAATGGGCTTTCTTCCATGCTTATCAACATCATAAGGGATTTTGACTCCAAAGCTGATGATACTCTTAAGAGCCAGAGCCAGCTTTCATCTTCCCTTGATCGTATCACTACAGGTAGAATTACTCTTACTTTGTTTTTGTGAGATCTCACATCGGTTGGAGAGGGGAACGAAACATTCTAAAGGTGTGGAAACCTCTCCCTAGCAGACACAACCTCTCCCCAGCAGACACGTTGTACAAACCTTGAGAGGGAAGCCCGAAGGAAAATCCTAAAGAGGACAATATCTGCTAGAGTTATTAGCTTTTTCCTATAAAATAGAATTGCTTCCTTGTACTACTTTGACTAATTATATTATAGCAATATAGCTTCGAAGATTCTGTCACTTGCTAGGTTTTACATTATAAATGACATTCTCTCATAATTTACCTTTTTTCTTGTCCTGGATGCAAAAATTTAACTTCTGAATTTCATGGCCTTTTCAATGTTGTGAAAAGTTATTACTTCAACCTTTACAGAACTGGATCAGTTACTTGAAGCTGCACCTTTTCCATTCATCATGCAGCATGCCTCGAGGATTTCAAGTGTAAGAAAGAGAGTTTTGTCACTAAATTCCATCTTAGGATCCATACAACGAAGATTAGATAACATAGATCGGGCAATCTCGATGGGCAATCGACCAGGTGATTGACTTCTCTCTTCAATGGCCTCAATTTTATTATCTTTTATGGCTTTTAATTTAATTGAAATTTATTGGATAATATCATTGGCTGTCAGGGTTGTTTAATGATGTTCCCATTTCTTGTTTCTAAAAAAAACACATACGTATGATAATGACTATTTGTTTCTTTATTCTCTCCATTTTATCATAATCATTTTCTGTTTTTAATTCATTCGACATACAAGTGTCGAGATTGTGAATCGATGAAGTTTTTGAGTTGCCCTTTGTTCTTCCTGGCATTCCCTGTATTATTCTGTGTATTGATTTACATATAAAATGAACTCAAATTGGGCTAATATTTATTGGAAAACCTCAGTTGTTCCTTCTTATGGAAGATTTTGAAGCTTCACATTTACACGTGGAACAAGAAACTTTTTAATGATGATTTTAAACCTTAGTTCTTCCTTCACAGTGTTTATTAATCAAAATATCATATGGTTTTTTTTAAATACATATGTAATTGGACGTTTTCTTAATGTAACAATTTTGTAAGAAGGCATGTTTCTCTGTTGAAGTTTAGGCTAAAGATCTGTTGAGTGTGCAAATATTAGTTTCATGATCTGTTATAACCATGCTTCTTAGGCCGTAAATCATGATTTTGTTTTGCTTTCTGAATGTTTGAGCTTACTTCTGGCAATGCCATGGGAAAAAATCATTTTGCATATAGTTTTCATGATTATATGTAATGCTCTTTACCTTCTCCTTTCTTTGACGGAAATTACTGGGTACTTCTTCCTTTAAGATTAGAGGTTCAAATCTTCATGCCTCAACGTTTATTATACGAAAAAAAGAACGAAGTAAAATTTTTTAACTACTCCAAAGGAAGCTTATCTACTAGATACTCAGGTCCAAGTGTACTATTTAAGACATTGGTAATTTGTTTGAAGCTTTGAGAGAATTTCTCATCTTTTTTGCGTTTATATGTAATGTTTTCTACCTTTAGTGGTCATTACCGGGTACTTCCTCCTTTAAGATTAGAGGTTCAAATATTCATGCCCCAACATTCATTATACTCAATTTATTGTACGAAAAAAAGAATGAAGTAAAATTTTTGAACGACTCCTAAGGAAGCTTATCTACTAGATGCTAAGATCCAAGTGTACTATTTAAGATATATATACTCTACTAGAATCAGTTCCTGTGTTTTGATGGCTTGTACCTCTTCGCTCCTGAACCTGATTTCACTCTAAACTCGGTTTCGAATCTTTGATTGGTATCCTTTCCTGGCCATTCCCTTCCCTACTCATCTTATCATGTAGTCAGCATCAATCAGTGGTATAAATTATAGCATTCATACGCTGAGAAATTACTTGCTCGGTTTTCACTCGTACTGATTACCACAGAATGAAAGACTCCTCCAGGTTTCTGTCTCATAATTTGGATCCTCGTCAAAGGTCTATAGATTAAATGCTTATTTTCTAATTGCCTGTAGTAAGTATTCATTTTGTAGCTCATTTGGCTGATTGTTTATGCACTAATTTTTGTCACGTGAGATCAGTCGAGGTGCGCGCAAGCTAGCTTCGAGCCTTGTCTCATTGTCACTCAAATATTCCTTGTTGTGTACAGATACTCTTTCCTCTCAAAGTTCCTCGCAAACTCAACATGGTTGAAGATTGTACGTACTCTACAGTCCCTTTTCTCTCTTCACTCAAAATACTGCGATAGAAAGGCTCTCTGTTTTGAATGTACAACCTGGGTAATTTTTCCATTTGTAAGTTAAGAGTTATGCCTCTGTCACTCTCTCAGGAAAATTTTTAGTACACATATATGTAAATACTCTTTCATTCACACTATCAATCTTATTTTGCTTATCTTTTAACGACGTTAACATGGCAGGCAACAAATCGAACTAGTACATCACCCTACAATAGTATTGAAATTTTCGCCCTCGGTCTATGTGCACACGCATACAACCTGCACAATTTATCTATTTCCGACTCGTGAGTGGAGTTTTGATGTTACTATTAACATTTAGCTTATGTTTTAGTTTCTCGCATTCACATCATTTTGTCTCTATGTACTGATGTCATGCCTATATGTATTAATGTCCCACATTGGTTGGACAGGAGAACAAAACACCTTTCCCCAACAATCCTCAACATGTACTCTCATGCATGCATGCATGCTTGTTCATATTATTGTGTTGACGTGACAGATAATAAATGGATGAACGTAGTATTGAGAAATTTCCACTCGTCAGATGGATGCTTTGACTTGTGATAGATAATAAATGGATGGCTGTAGTATTGAGAAATTTTCACTCATCTGATGGATGCTTTGACTTGTGACAGATAATAAATGGATGGCTGTAGTATTGAGAAAATTTCACTCATCTGATGGATGCTTTGACTTGTGACTGATAATAAATGTTTGACTTGTGACTGATAATAAATGGATGACTGTAGTATTGAAAAATTTTCACTCATTTGATGGATGTTTTGCCCTGTGAGGAGTTTTATTCAAATAGTAATTTTCATTTATAGTTTAAGTCGAACAAAATGTATCTATTATTATTGTGATTTTTCGTCATTTTCAAAAAAATAAAAATTAAAAAAACTAGAATTTTATTCTAAGGAAAAAAATAATTTGGGTTGATGTTGAGTATGTGTAGCATAATTTTAGTTTATTTTTGTGTTATAGAATTTATTATATTATTTATTAAAATAGTCTGAGGTATACCATAGTTAATTCAAATACTCATATAAATATAAGAAAATGAAAAATGAAAAATGAAAAATTAAATTTATATATAATATATAAATTAATTTTTAAGAATTTTAAATTTGATAAGAAACTATTATTAAACATCAACTTAGTTAGAATGAATATTTGTTTCTAATTTTAAAGACTAAAATTACCTTCTGAGTTCTGACTCGGTCAACACTCAATACTAAGGTTTAGGGTTCTGATATCCACTATAAAAGAGAAGGCGCCTAAAAGATTGTTCCGGTTCACACTCTCGTCGAGAGAGGCTGAAGGATCGAACTTCGGCCATTGTTCTTCTGAGGCAAAGCTCGTTCGCCATCGACAATGAGAGCTAAGGTTCTTCTTCCAAAATTTTCTCATCCTATGTTAATTGCAATAGGTTTAAGCGGCTTCGTTCTCGGAACTTTTTCCCAATCTTGCAATTTTTCTCGATGTTATGTGTCTGCTTTGAGGATTTAGATATTGAGATGTATTTTTGGCGCGATCGGAGTCGAAAGTATGCTCTAGTTTATTCCGGTTTCATGATTCGACCGTGGTCGTTTCTTATCTCCTCACGAATCAAAACTGATTAACTACTCGTTAAGGTTCTTAGGTTTTGTGATTTTGAAAATGAGTTTAGGATTTTTGCTATTATTTTTGGCATATTGGCGTAAAACATGCCTTTACACTTCTAGGTCTAGCAATGTGATGTTATACATCTTCGTGATTGTTTTTGTTTCTACTTAATTCTGAACCAAAATCTACTTATTGTTGTTTCTCACAACTGTGGGTAGATTATCGGTGTAGATTTGATATTCAATCACTAAGATTGTGAAGTGAAAATGGTTTTGATGTTTTTTCTCTTGTTTTTGCCGTGAACTTAAATTTATAATACGCTTCTGATGAATAATGGTTGGTCATATGTTCTTTTCTCATACATCAAGCACCAATATATGATAACCACAGTTAGTTTTTCAAATTCTTAAACAGGTTTTTATCGATTTTTCTTTCTGCTTTCAATTTGAAGTTTATATTGGAATAGCATTATTCTCATCATACTCTTTTTTGGTTCTGAATTCTTATTTATTTGATTCTTCGTTCTCTTCCTTTGGTTTTGAATTATTGTTTTTGATTATTGGGGGGGCTTCTGAATGCCAGTGGAAGAAGAAGCGTATGAGGAGGCTCAAGAGAAAGCGCAGAAAGATGAGACAGAGGTCTAAGTAGTTGCAGATATCTGGAAAATGATCGAGCTTTCTCCTTAAAGTGCCTATTTTCTCCATTGCTGTCTAGCATTAGGTGCTTGAAGTGGTGGAGATTCTAGTGTTCTTCTGAAGATAGTTTTGCACCATTTCCTTTGGTTTTTATTACTTTGCATAACCTTATATGGTTTGACTTGCTTTCCTTTTAATATCCAGTTTGTTCAGACTGAATATCAATTTATGTGGCCTTCTTAGCTTATTGGTTGGTACCTTTTTAACGTTCAGTAATTTTGGGGAGAAAATCATTACATGGAATAGGTTAAGAAGAGTTGAGGCTATCATCGGGATGAGCGCTTCTTAGCCTAGTAGAATATAGTAAACCGTAATCTAGCAAGAGTAGAAGTTCTAGCTCAACGGGTTGAAATATATATTATCAACTAGCTTATTGTAATCCATACTTGAGCTCGAATAGAAGTTCTAGCTCAACTGGTCAAAATATATTGATATGTTAGAGGTCTTTAAACTTCATTAGGACGATAAGTTTGGGGCTGGAGAGATCTGCCCCCAGGTCTTCAAAGAAGAATGTTTAATTCCTCCATTCCCTCGATGTTTTAGGATTCTAGAGCCGACCTATTGAAATAGGTTTTGGATTCCAAACCAGTGCTTCAAATACCCCCATTTTGTTTAATAAGTTCGATTTTTAATGTTTAATAGATTTTTAAGTTTATTCAATATTTTTGAAATTGTTCAAATTTAAAACATTTTCGAATAGTAATCGACATTAAGGATTTCTTTCAACAAGCAATTAGCTATGTACATAAAAGAAGCCTTGTGAACTAAAAACATGTACATAGTTGTAAATAATGTACATACCAGCGTTTACGTCGTGTTCTTGATGAACGGTCAACTGAATTATCTTAATGGTAATTCCTTTAGGTAATACTGCATAACAAGTCTTTCCACTGTGCTTTGACTAATTACATCCCTGAGTTGCAGCTCCCTCAGTACTTTGGTTCCAAGATCTATCTCTTTCTCTTGGATGATCCCTTCCACAAGAATGGTGTACGTTGTCTCATTTGGCAGATACCCTTTATCGACCATGATTTCGAAAACCTCGAAGGCCAAATCGGTTCTTCGAGATTTGCAGCAACCAAGAATGAGTGAATTGTAATTTTCAGTTCTAGGCTTGTAGTTATTTTCCTCCATTACACTGAATATTTCAATTGCCTCATTCAGCATACCCTCCATACATAACCCCCGGATCAAAGACGAATAGGTAAACGAATCAGGCGTAAACCCGTACTTTGTCATTTCGTAGAGAAGCTGAAACGCTGGATATGTGTTTCCTTTTCGACACAAGCTCGTAATAACAAATTTATAGAATTCTTGAGTAGAGGAATGTTGCTTGTTGCCCAAACTCTGTATGATGGAGAATGCCTCTTGAACCATTCCCTCCTCACAAAGTGTAGCAATCGCATTGTATGTTCCTTCATTGGGATTACAATGCCTATGCATCATTTCATCCAAACATTTCACAACAACATCCACTTTCCTATCTTTGCAAAGACGAGCAATTATCGGGTTATAACTCGAAGCCATCGGCTTGAACCCTGCCCGAATCATCTCTTCCAAAACCTCAAGAGCATGTCCTATTCTGCCATGTAGACTAAGCGAACCAATCAATATATTGTATGTGACGTTCGACGGGGAACGATCGTCCCCATCACCGTCCATTTCAGCTAGAAGCACACTTGCCTCGTCCCACCTCCCTTCATAACACAAACTCCTTAACAAAATATTATAACTAACAACATTTGGACTGAATCCTTGAGAAGGCAACTCCCTAAACAACTGAATGGCATCTCCTATCCTACCTTCTTTACACAACCCAGTTAACAAAACATTATAGCTAACCAAATTAGCCTTCCCACCCTTTGCAATTATCTCCTCCAAAAGCTTAATGGCTTCATCAGCCCCTCTTTCCTTGTAAGCAGCTTCAAGCAAAAAAGAGTACGTATAAGCATCTGGAACAAGCCCCTTCTGGATCAACCTGTCTAAAAGCTGCAAGCTCTTACTCAAATTTCCATGCATACAAAGCCCTCTCACAAGTGAATTATAAGTAACAGTGTTTGTAGGATACCCATATTCCTCCATTTTCTCCACTAATTGCATTGCATAACCAACATTCCCTTTTTTACACAAAGAACTTACCAAAAAGGTATAGGAAGAGGCATCTGGAATGATTCCTGACCCAATTGTCATCTCCATTACCTTCACAGCCTTCTTCATCTTACATGCCTTGCAGAGATCATACAGTAACCGTGTTGCGTGGAATTCATCAGGCTTTTGGCCATTCTCAATCATGAACTCTAAGTGAAAAAAAGCATCGTTTAGTCTAAGCTCTCTACTCTTCTGATCGCCTTTCCCTATCCTCCAATTTGGCAGTGGGAAAATTGTGTCCTTGGGAGAAATTGTAATCTGAGCTGATGCTGAAACTTTAGAAAATCCTTTATTAAGTGAGAGATTTGGATATGGGGAAAGAGCCCACATTCTGTTCTTGTGGTTTCGGATGAGTCGCTGGGGAAAGAAACTCAGTAAAATCCTCTACTTCTTTACAGTAATCGCTCTCTTTTTGGCATTTAGAATCAGAATCAGAAACCTGGAATCAATATCATGTTCTAAGAATCGGTGCTTCTTCAATGATCTAAAACTTGGTATAATGCAGGATTGTTTAGTACGGATCAAATGAAAAGATATGCAGAGACTGGAAGTATGAAATTCAGGTCGTTTTCGGAGATTTCCAAGTGCAATTTGTTTGCAGAATGGAAATAGGTGGAAGGAATCATGAACATACACTGGAATGAGAAATCAATATCATATTCTAAGAATCGGTGCTTCTTCACTCATCAAAAACTCGGAATAATGCAGAATTGTTCAGTACGGTTCAAATGAAAAGATATGCAGAGACTGGAAGTATGAAATTCAGGCTGTTTTTTCAGAGATTTTCAAGTGAAATTTGTTTGCAGAAGGGAAATAAATGGAAGAAATCATGAACATACACTGGACTGAGTAATCGATCGAGCGGATTCTTCCCTTGGACTCCAAAAAGCGTTGAATCTTGAAGAGCTGAAATGAAATCTCGTTGTTTAGGTTAGGTTAGGTTACATTATTATCGGCGTTTCTTCAATCATCTAAAACTCGGTATAATGCAGGATTGTTCAGTACGGATCAAACGAAAAGATATGCAGAGACTGAAAGTATGAGATTCAGGCCATTTTTTCTGAGATTTTCAAGTGAAATTTGTTTGCAGAAGGGAAAGGAATCATGAACATACACTGGAATGAGAAATCGATCGAGCGGATTCTTCTCTTCGACTCCAAAAAGCGTTGAATCTTGAAGAGCTGAAATGAAATCTCTCTGTTTAGGTAATCCCATTTTTTCCTTATGAAGCTTTCGTTTGAGTGACTTGGCTCCTCTCTACACCAGTCCCCTCCACATCTCGTTATCCAAGTTTTTAGTCTCTGATACCCACGCGGCTTTTCATGGAGTGTGGAACACGCGCTTTCCTTGGCGATTCCGTGGGGTCCTTTGTCTTGTTGTCTAATGTCCATTCACCACCCGGATGTGGGGCCTACCTTGGTGAGAATTTTTCTATATATATATATATATATTTTTTTTAATTACAAAATTATAATAAATCAATTTTCTTTTTTTTTTCTTTGTTTTTACCGTTATATTTTCATAAATTTTGCCATCAATTATACTTTATAAATATTTTGAGACTATGGTACAATATTTAAATTTAAATTATATTGAATTTTCTTTTTGTAATATTAAATTTTGATTATTTATAAATTATGAGGGTAGAATATTTAATATAATTTATTTGTGAATAATATATTAGATTTTTTTTTTACATTTTTTAATTGGAAGTTAAACACTAAATTTATTTTTGTTGGAATATTCATTATTTTTAAATAAAAAAAATATCAGAATTTTTTCCTAGTAGATAAAAAAATAAATAGAGAATTTTGTGGGATGGATAATGAAAAGGATGGATACATGAACCGCTCCCGTCTCTATACTGCTCTATGTACCTCTTTAGTCTAAGTCTATTCATTATTGCGTCGCCTACGACCCAACGACGTATACTTGACTCTAATTCAAGAAGAAAGTTTAAGAAAACGGGAACAAAGAGATTTCGAAAGAGAGTTTTGAAAGTAAGAGAAATTGAAATCGGTGTTATATGACAACAACAACGGCTTCCTGCATATAACTATTGGATAGGGAGAAGTTGACAAAACTCAACTTATTGAGTAGTCTAGATTGTTAAGGTCATTAGGATCATCGAACACCGCTATTTGTTTTTTCCGTAAATTTTATTTCCTAATATTTTGTTTATCTCAGTAATTTTTTTTTATTATATCTCATTCATCTATAAATTTTCACCACTGAATTACAATTTCCTCTATTTTTGTTTCTCTTAAATTTGTATTTCCCTCCAAAAATTGTCCTATCTCACAACTTTTGCTTTACCGCTCTTTATTTATTTATTTATTTATTTTCCTCAAATGTAATGTCTGATTTAAAATTTTAATGATCTTAAAATTACTTTTAAAAATGAACATTACTCCTAAAAATTATGTGTTTTGAGTGAATATTTGTTATTTTTAAAATAAAATTAATTATATTAATTTTAAATTATTACAAAATATATAAAAGATATATTTTTGAGTAATTTTAAGTTAAACAAAAATAATTTAACCCATTTTAATTTTTGCAGAAAAGATAAGAAGGTCAATGTTTTTAGTTCCTTATAAATAGTTTCCATTTCTGGCCATTAGTCTCTTTGATCACCAAAACAACGAGAGAGAGAGAGAGAGAGAGAGAGAGAGCTGAGAGCTGAGAGTTGAGAATGCGAGCGAAAGTACTTTTTTTCGAAGTACTTCGAATTGCGTACAATAAGCTTCAAGGCGGTTCTTCTACTTCGATGATCTGCTCAAACTCTGTCCACTTCTAATGTCTCTCTCTTTCGCCTTATAGAAAACTGACAAATTCGATTGCCATTCGAGATGAGATCCTCCAGAGGCGGTGGTGGACGAGTCGAATCTACCAGCCACATCCACACTCTCCATCGCCGTCTTCACGACGCTCTCAATCTCGGTACCAGGTCAGTTTTCAGTCTTCTTCAGTGCCAGAACTCATTCGCTGTAATTTGATGCACTTTTTTTGTATGTTTTTCTGTTATTGCTCTGCGGAGCATGTTGACGTGCTTGTTTTTCTGCACTATAATTAACTAATTGAACTTTTCTTTTGAGTTTTCTTGGAAGTTTGATCCTTCTTTGGTTCAGAAAGTTGATTTAGTTTGTTTTGTAAGTCGGTTGCGATAATATCTTTGAGGTTTGCCTATCTCGTATAGTTATTATTTCCCCTATCGGTTATCTCTTCTCGAAGGTCGCTTTAAAAACAATTCAAGAAAAGATGTCTGAAACCTTGAAACACAATGTTGTGTGCTTCTTTTAGGTGATTAACCGTTTCCGAAAATTTGTAGGTGTTGTAATTTACTCATTTGATGAGCAATGTTTCTATTCACGCTCTATTTATTTACGAGATTAGTTTATCTACGCCATAACCGCGGAATTGTTGTTTTCCAAGTCAGGTTTAATGAACAAAACAAGAGAAAATGGATGTGCTCGGATAATGAGGTACAGAGACATGTTGTTCGTTCCATTGCAGCATTTCTTGAATCTGTTCCCAGGGAGTTATGCTACCATCACCTCGTGAAGGTATCGCACTTAGTGTTGTCTTTTAGATTTTGGAAATCCAATCAAGTTCAATTGTTCGTTCCGTTTTCTTTTTATAGTTGTTTAGAGTCATACTTCCTGATTTTTTTTTCCTCTGGAATTGCACTATCCGATAACAGTGAAGGTTTTGGATTGGAATTGGACATATCGAAATGAAGACCTTTTTCTCCATAAGCATTGATATCGCACTACTAAATTGGAGAAATTTTATTTTTTTACTATTTTTTTTATAGGGGGGTCGGTAAGTCATCATAGGAGGAATGTGGACATAATAAAATAAAAAGAATAAATATTGATAGTTACACAGTGGAAAAGAAACGAGAATGGTTCTTTTCTTCCTTTTTTTTTTTTGCTCTCTCTCGTGCTTCTGGTTAATTTTAAGCGTGTTTTGCATAGAACTTAATAACTTGTTAAATTCTGCGACTGTCCTTGTGTCTTCTTATGCATTATGTTCTTAAGTTGAAGTCACTTTATGTAGGTGGCTACCTACTGTTGGAAAGTTTTCGTTTAACATGTCTGGAGCTTCTTTTTTTTTTTTTTAATAATCTTTTTGTTCTCAGATAGTTACTGCCATCCCTTCCGTTTCTTTCAGGATTCTATACCTGACATTGTTTATTCTTTGGTGTGGATTCTTGAAGACAAGAATGGGGCAGCATCAAGCATAGCAGCTGATGTTGCTATAAAGCTGTTCAGTGCTATACCAAATGCACTGTTGAAACCTTTCATTTTGGACCTTTCTCATGCTCTTTCATGTTTGCTACCTGCTCGTCAAATACAAACATCTGCAGCATGTGCTACAGCATTGAATTTGATTCTTTCAAATGTACCAAGTAAAAGTGAGGAAGCACTTTGGGAAATTCTAAAAAAGACTGAAGTTGTTCTTCATTTGATTGGCACGATTAAAGACTTTTCTGGAGCTATGAACCCAGTTGAATGTATTCAACCTCTTTTTTCTCTTTTGAGTATAATACTCTCTAGGTGGCCTCTCTCTAGGTTTCCAGTTTGGAGTGATGCAAAATTGATGGAAGCTTTGTATGATATGTATGCCAAGCCAGACTTTTCAGTTAGAGCTGAAGTTTTGAAGTTGTACTCTGCAATAGGTAATGAATGCGGGGGAATTTTCATACATTGAGTTTGTGGATTGGTAATTGAGAAAAAGTTGTCAATTTCCTTTGCAGCTCTATGTGGTATTGGTGCACAGAAGCTTTTAGAGCGTGGAGAAGCAATTCTGCAAGAAATGGTGGAATGCATGGCCAGCTCACGCCCTCATCATGTTAGGATTGAAGCATTTAGACTTGCACAATGTTTAGTGGTTAGAACTAAGAACTGTTAACATGTTCATTATAGACACCGTATTGAATGAATACATGTTCTCTGCTTAAAATTTATTTTGTGACATTCTTGCTCAGATAAATGAGGAGACCGGTTTGGAAAGGATGAGTTCATTTTGTGAACCAATTGTCAGTGCCATATTAAGTGCAATGACTGAATGTAGTTTACAACCTGCAACAGTTACCAATAATCAGATATGGTTGCTCGAGGAGGCCAGTCGCTTGGCCTTAATCACTCGTTGGGCTGGCCAACATCACAATTATTTTTGGAAACATGGAATTGACAGAGCTCTCCTTCATCTTTTACTTGGAAAGTGTCCCAAACAACTATATGAATGTACTTTGTCGTTGGAAGACCAGATAAACATTGCTCGGGAGGGTCTTAAGTCAAATTATTTTCCTGGAATGAGGGTTTATATCTGGGAAATTCTTGGTTCGCTTGCAACAAACTTCAATGAAGATGTCTACCTGAACAAAAGTTCAAACAGACCCCTAATTGACATGCTTCTATCATGTGCCTGGTATTACCATTACTCAGTTCATGTGGAGTTCTACTTTATTATGCCTAATCCTTTCATGATGTTTTTCTTTCATTATAGACTCATGTTTTAAAAATGTTTTATCGACAGTTTGGCATTTGCTGAATTATTTATGGGTTGGCGTCAAATCTGTCAAAGTGATGTTGTAAATGCCTCAAAAAATGAATCATTATTGAGAGCTATTATGATGATGATTTATTCTCCTTCCAATTATATTGCATCAACGACGATGTCTATGTTAACAACGATGCTAGAGCCGAGTATTAAGTCATATTTGAAGGACTTCCGGCATACACTGACGGGCATCTCATTTGGGACAATTTCTGGTATGCCAAATATTCTAATAGTCGTGAACTTGTTAAGTTTAGTATGTTGTGTAGGTCTGCCACAGTATACAGTGTGGGACAAGAATGCAGAAGGCATGAAGGCAATAGTCTCCTTTGTTAAGTGGTGCCTGAGTAATGAAGTCCATTTAGATAGGCTGAGCTATTCTCCACATTTGCTTTTTAATTTTCATGAGAGAGCTTGCTGTCAGGGCCCTAACAAAGAATGGGAGGGAAGAGATATCCTACTTTTATATAGTTTGGTGGGCCTGGCTGAGTTAATTCTACAATTACTCCCCTTGACAAATGAAAGAGGAACATCTTCTTTATTAGTTGGATTTGCTGAAGATGAGTTAATAAGCCAACTTCAGGATATCTGCGGTGGTAGTTACTCTCCGGGACTTAAGTGGTATGCTGCATATGTCCTTAGTTTATTGGGATTGTATGGGTTTCCTAGTAAACTCGGGAACAGGATTGGCAGAGCACTTGATGGGACTGACTATTCAGACATTCGTTTCATTCATACAAATGGGAAGTCTCTAAATGCCCATGGTGTGATTCTTGCAGCTCGGTGTGCGTCACTGCTGCCTCCTAACTGGCCACCTGTCATTGAGAAAATTCCTAATCATTCATCCTCCTCTGACAAGAACTCATCTGGAAAGATTCAGAAAGAGGTTTGTTTATCTTCACACGTTCATGATGATGCAATGGAGAAGTTACTTGAGTATGTCTACAAGGGACATCTCCAAACTGGAGAGGAACTTACAAAAAAGTTGAGAAGTCTTGCTAAACGTTGTAGAATACAGACTCTGTTTCATTTACTTTGTAGAAGAAGGCCGAAGTGGGGGGCACCTTTCCCCCACTTCAATCTTGTGGCGGCTCTTGGTCCAGCTGGATATCCTTTCTCGTAGGTTCCTCTTGGCTTTTATCAACTAGATCAAGTTTCATTTAACAAGCATATATTTTGTGGAAATAAGTTCTTTTTCTTTGAGTATTTGATTTCAGATAGACAATCATTTTTTTTATCATCATACAAATGAACATATCTTCATGTGTTGGCCACTAAATCATTTTGAATCTTTAACCTTGTGTTCATATTCACTTCTGAGAATTAAATTTCTCTACTGAAAAATGTAACAGGGTAGTATATGTTATTAAGCATGTGTTTTTTCTATCATTCACATTATCCAGCAGAAGATCTTTTGTTACATTTTCTGATTTAGGTCGAAGCCATTCAATTGGTCTTGTTGTTGGGCAGTGTAATTTTCTTGTAGGGAACATATTTTAATTTCCTTCCTCCTTGTAACTATCTTTTCTGTAAAAGATTCTATGACCAATTTTGTTTTGTTTTCAGAGACATCACCTTGGAGGCAAAAGCAACTAAGCAGACTAGTTGGAAATGCGATGTTTGTGCTTCATCTTTTCCACATATGCATGTTCATAAAGTAATTTTGTGGTTAAGCTGTGACTATCTAAGAGCCTTGTTACAATCGGGAATGAAAGAAAGGTATTTTATCATTGCATTTATTATTGCAATACACAGCCATAGAAAAGGACTATTATGTGATTTATAATGTAGTGAACAGAAAATAAGAAGTTACAGAGTTTATTTGATACGGTGTTCTTTATTAGTAATATTATTTGGTCAATTCACTTTTGTTCTCAATTAAGGATGAAAATAAGATATTATTGCATTTATTGGATTGTAGAGATCTGTTGTAGTGTAGTGCGGAAAAATGAACTATGTTAATACATTAACTAAAAGACTGCGTGATTGTTAAGTTTTCTTTGCCATCAGATCACAGTTCGATCAATATTTATACATAAATTACTTTTTTTCTCAAATACTTTATGAGAGCCTTCTCTTTACTTTTTTTTCGTTACATAAATCGAGCTTAAAACTTTTCACATTATAAGAATTTGATGGAGGCGAATCCGTTGTTTCTGAGTAGAAATGGTTGAACTTCCTTTGAAATTTCTTCTGAAAGCAGTTCTGATTTTATTTGCCATTATTGTAGTCCACAGTTAAAGATTCAGTCTTTTTCACTTTTTTTTTTCTTTTCCCGACAGCCACTCGGAAATAATTAAGGTTCCAGTTAGTTGGGAGGCAATGGCTAAACTGGTGGAATGGTTCTACTCAGACAAGCTGCCAGATCCTCCATGTGGGTGTCTGTGGTATAATATGGATGACCAAGAGAAGTTGAATGAGCTCCAATCATATGTAGAGCTTTGTTGGTTGGCTGAGTTCTGGTTTCTGGAAGATCTGCAGGAAGTGTGCTTGCATGTAATTGTAGTTTGTCTAGATATTGCCCATCATTTGTGGGTCAAAGTACTTAGAATGGCTGGAGATTTCTCTTTGTGGAAGTTGGCTGAAATTGCTGCAGATTATATTGCTCCATTATATTCTCAACTTCGTAATTGTGGTGATCTCGAAACACTAGATGAAAGGCTCCTGAGTATGGTACGTGCTGCATCTGTTCGACTTTCTCAAGAGGGTAACTAGAGCTCTGGGTTGTTAGACACCACTACGGATCTGTCGCATAAGGATTCATAATCTGGGTAGCAAAGGCCTCATAATCTCATGCCCCAACATTTTAGGTAAGCTGAAATATCTCTTATATTTAATGCTAGTTTCCATACACACAAGTTCAGTATTCTCGTACATATGGGATGTGTAAGTTGAGCTCTTCATTTCTCTAACATAAGCAGTCTAATTTCTCATTAGTTTTATCTTTGCTGTAACGAACACGAATCTTGTTTAAGTTCAGACTTCTTATGTTGCCACATTACCATTCTCAAACATTTCTCGTACAGGAGAAACCACATGAGACAATGTTGGCATCGGTAAGGAATCTTTTCACTGCTTGTTCCTAGTAAATAGATGATTCTCGAGGTGCAACGTCATGGAAAGTGTTTACATAGTCAGCATTGAATATAGTTATTCCAGAGAGATCTCTTGTAGTTATGTCGTCATAACAATCTGATTGCAAATGAAGACATTGTTGCGGTGCATTACAATTGTAACCGGTCGTATCCCTCGCTTCTTTGCCTCAACTACCCTGTACTTCGTGGTTGAAACGAGGATCGATCAGTTTGGCACGTGGAAGTATTTACAGCTTTCAGCTAGTCTCTCGTCAAACACTTACGAAGCCGTGCTTGATGTGTGACAAATGAGGTACTTAGACAGTTATTCTCTCTCTCTCTTTATAGTTTCTTTGAATGCTGAGAAATATAAATACATACTGTTGCAATGCTGATCTCCTAAATTTTGATTTTGATGTTTATGTCAGATAATACAAGTATGGCCTTACCCTGTGTTGTATACATTATACACAATAACTTCAGTCTGCTTTCAACAAACACATTATACACATTTAGCATTACCAATCAAAGAGGGAACCAGAGCTCGAAAACATCGTCTCGGATCGAGCACTTTTTGTTAATGTCATTTGATGAGGTCATTCACTTGTTCTCTTGAATCCTTTTAGTTCATTGTTTTCTTCTCTGTTTTACATTCGAGTTTCTTCAGGATATATAGGCTTTCAACATTCTAACTACAGACGAGAATTTTACTTTGCTATGGATAGAACGGTTGTGAAGGAATATCTTTTGGCTTTTGTGGAATTCCAGTCGTGCTGCACTACGTGAAATGACTTGTGAGTCTCTTTTTAGATTTCTATACATGCTTTCTATGTCTATCCCATTACTTTATTCGCATATCTATCTGCCTTTGCCTCTGAGAGTACATTTTTATTGAGCCCTACGAGAATAAAGGCTAAAACGACCATCAGTTAAGTGTAACCCCCCAAGCACACTCCTAGCAGATAGTTTTAAAATTCGTCTGCTAGGGAGAGGTTTCCACATCTTTATAAAGAGAATGTTTCGTTCTTCTCCTCAACCGACGTGGGATCTCACAATCCATCCCCCTTCGGGGTCCAGCGTTCTCGCTGGCACTCGTTTATTTCTTCAATCGATGTGAGACCCCCCAATCCACTCCCCTTCGGGGCCCAATGTCCTTGTTGGCACACCGCCTTGTGTCCACCCCCTTTGGGATTCAATCTCCTCGCTGGCACATCGCTTGATGTTTAACTCTAATACCATTTGTAACAGCCCAAACACACCGGTAGCAGATATTTTCCTCTTTAGGCTTTTTCTTTTAGGTTTTCCCTCGAGAGTTTTAAAATGCGTCAGTTAGAGAGAGGTTTTCATACCTTTATAAAGAATGCTTCATTCTTTTCCCCAACCGAGTAAGAACCTGTAATGCTTTCTCTTATGCACTCTAGTCCTTCCCTCCTAAATAGTGTGATATATACTTAAATTTACATGATAAACAAAAGTTGGTTAGTTTATTTTTCAATTTGAATCATAAAGAATGCATTTTTTTTTTCTTCCAAATTATGATCTTTTGTCTCTACTCAAATGAATGGTACTAAAGAGCCTGTGGATAATAAATATGTCTACTACCCATAATCCAATAGGTGAAGTACATAGCAACTTATCCATTGATTAAACTACCGGTTCGATTCCATGATGTTCCAAAAATGAGTACTATCAGTGATTCCAATAAAGAAGAGCTGGTTAGCTTTCCAATCTTAAATCTATAGGTTAAATTTCCAGTTTAGTCCTAAAAAATTGTGGAAAGGTTTTTGAATAATTCTGTCTTTTTTTGTGCCTAATCTACTCAATATTTTTTAAGACTCGTGCCTATTAGATTAAAAAAAGTGAATTTTGTATCCGATCAAACTCAAAGAATAGTCTCATAATTTTTTTTAAAAAAAAAGTCTTATAGATTTATATTGTGTGCCTCTTGTATGATGCAGTGGATCGAGTATAACATCATGATCCTGTGTCACCATGAATTATCTTACTGTAATAGATGAGATACAAGAATAAGAAAGACCCTAGCTTTGATTGGCTTGACACTATTAAAAAAAAAAATTACTTAGTCCATTCAAAGTATTTGCAAATCGAGGAAGAAAAGTATTTTGAAATATTTTAAACATCTAATTTTTTCTTGCAAGTAAAAGAGTAAATTGACATGTTTTTTTCTTAGTCCATTCATTATTTCAGTTAGTTAAATCATATCATTTAAAATTATTTTATAAATTTACGAGACTAGAGTGTGTCTTCTTATGTTACAAAGCTACTTTAGAGCCAAACCAAGTCAATTACATACTTGATAAATAAGCTGAATTCAATAACTGGTTAATTTTTACCCAAGTTAAAAGTTAGATCAAAATGAGAGTTAAAAATAGAGCTTAGTAAGTTTACAGAAAAAATAGTAGATAACCTACCAACATGGGCATAGTTTCAACTAAAACATTATTAATTAGTTCAAAATTGTTGGAAGTAAAAATCGAACACAATAACTGTATTAATTATGACATGGCATCATAATCAATACAAATATTTAATTAATTAACTAATTAATTCCATTGTAGCAGACAAATAAATCGTAGCAATTTAGTAAATACAAATGACCAAAAATAATATGGAAAACCCATTCCATTATTCTTAACATCCTTCTTATTTAAAATATATATATATATATGAAAATAGTTCCCCATAAGATCTATGAATACCACCAACCCCATTTGTTAGGGCTAAAAGAACACAACCAACGTCCAACTCCATCCCCGTCGTCTCGTCTCTGTCTCGATCTCGATCTCGGTCTCTCTTGTGTGGGCATAGAGCCACCAATAACATCATAAAAAGTAAATTATAGAACACTAAAAAAACCCATCCCCACCACCCTTCTCAGGTATTTATAAATAGTGAAGGACCATGGGAAATTGGTCTCTCAAGACCGACCAACCAACCCTGTACACTCTAACCCCTCGACCATCCACATTATATCTCTCGTTCATATCTGGACCACTTACACCGTATTCTATCTCTAAAGCTCTCCTCCTCTACCCAATCCTGGAAGAGAAAAAAAAAAAAAAAAACAATCAAAACTAACCCCAACATAACAATGGCGTTAATTTTTCAATAGTAAAAAACATGAAGGAAGAGAAGAATCATTCTAAGAATAGAAGCAAGTATTTTGTTTTGCACGCCCCCTCTTTCTTTCACCCGCCGTACCAAAAGAAAAAAGAATAGAATTTAAGGGAGCAGTAATAGAGAGAGACCTCTAGTGGAGGAAGGGGTTTCTCTGTTCTTCCACATGTATTTTGATGAGATTATTCTGAAGGCTCCTTCGTTGGAACTGTATAGATAAAAAGGTGCAACAAACTCCTCTTGATCATAAGGAGTCGAAGTTGTTGCGACGACAGTGCTCGGTCCCATTGTTAGATCCACCAACAGACATCGAGCGTTGAGCAAAATCTATCAATACTCTTTTTTGGTGCTCGTCGGTATGGGGAAGGCTTGCCCGTAATACTTCGACTGGCATTTCTTGACTGATGGCAGTGGCTTGATCCAAGACAGCTACTGCTGGATTCTGTGGAGATTGTCTGAGTAGTGATTGCATGATACTATCGTACTTGTTCACACAATACTTTGTAAGAAGGCCAAAAAATTCATCGAACGAAGCCTGCCAGAGAGAACGGTGAGTAATGTTGTAGTTACTCGCAGCATGAGGGTCGGTTAGGAGTTCCGTGGCCCTCTCGAGAACAGATTTCAAAATCAAGGACGCCCCATCTCCAGCAGGGGACCCTAGAGGGCGAAGTGGAGGTTGCTCTGAGGAACAAACTACAGCCGCAAGACATGCACTTAGGGCTCCAAGATCCATACTACGGGTTTGCAATGAGACAATTCTTGCAAGTTCACTAACAGAATCTGCTGCCCCAGGATCAGAAGGAACACTACCAAACAGGAATCTTAAGTGACGGAAAATAGCCATACAAACTATTCGTTTGAGCTCACCACCCGGTACGAGCAGCTGAAGGTACTTTCCGAGAAGCCTTCGTCCCTTGGGAAGAGAAACCAATCTCAAGAAAACGAAGTCATCTTTAGGAGCCAGCCCAACTGTGTGACCATCTTTACTGCATGGATCAACTATGTGAAGTGATGCAGCCAGTCCTTCCAACAGGACCTGGCGACGTCTTCGTAACTGAGTACCGCCGTCTTGGAACTGATTGAATTGCAGGAAACGATCAATATCATCTACGTCAAGAAGCAGACAATGACCATCCTCGATTGTAACTCTAGCTGCTAGCATAGGCTCCTGTTCAAGGGGCTTCTCAGAAACCTTTTGATCAGAGCTTCCACCAACAGACGAACTTGGAGGATCCACTTCAAGAAGAGGGCGAGGTCTACGAATCGATGAGAATGGAACCCTACCAAGTGCTTCGACCTGTAGAAAAGCATGTGGCTCATTATTGGCACGGGCATGTGGTGGAAGATCCCTTAGTTGATTAGGACAAAAATGATGCCTCAACTTTGCTCCTGCAGATTTTCTTGAAAGACAAGCCTGATGATAGTAGTCATCTACATATGGATCATTACTGTGTGTTGCTGCAAGCTGCATTCTAACAATATTCTCTAATTCATCGGCTCCCACATACTTGGATCCACAGAAAGGCCACCCAAAGTTCTTCCTAAAACTACTGGTCTCATTACCCTGATGGATAAAACGAGGGTTCTGTCTACCTTTCTGAGACCTAGGCCTTTGATCCCTCATATCCGGTACGCCGAGCATGACTTCCAATTTGTTCATTAAGTGGGGTGGGCCTGAAGAAACATGGGAATTAATAAGATGGGACTGAAAACCTGGTAGAGAACCACCAAATGGAGGCTGAACAGGATGTTGCAACCTATGCTGCTGCTGCTGCTGCTGCTGCTGCAGTGGCTGTGGTGGTAACTGTGGAAATCCGTTCTGATTCGGTAACTGTTGAGGCAATAAATTGTTTAGGTGACTGGAATGTTCTCCACGAAACATGCCAATTTGGTTGACCCATTGGTTTTGTGGTCCACCGTTAGCGGAGAGACCAGAGTTAAGTTGCGGCATATTTCCAAATCGTGATCCAGAAATGAAACCAGCAATCTGAGAGTTTGGTGGTGTGAGATTTGATGGAGATAATGATACTACATGGCGTCCAGAAGGAACAAAAGGCATGTTTAGATGGCTTGAATGCTGGTTTGGCGAAGCATGAGGAGATATTCCGATAGGAGGATATGAAGACTTCGGGACAGAAATTGGCTCACTAGAGATCTGTTGGTGGTATTGCTGCAGCTGCGGCTGCTGATCAGGGTAAGACGATGTCCTATATAAAGACGTAGATTCAGCAAGAGAGGAAAAATGTGGATGTGATGACCATCTTTTTCCTTCCTGAGCACTTTCCACATTATAGCCTTGCTGGGCAAGCCAATTGGAGAAGCCCTCCTCATGTGGCCACTCATTAACTGACGAACCTAGAAGAGTAGATGAGAAAGACAAAAAGAAAATGAAGGAAATCAGTCAACCATGAACCGACAAATGAACTGTACATTCAGTGTTGTGTAACAAAGATAAGACAGAGATCTTGTTCGAAACAAGCTTGTCAGGATTAAAGATGTTGGGATTAGATTAGCAGACTGTGAATGGGTCAAGACGACGAGTAAAGTCTCCATCATCTCCAAAAGTGGGGTGATTAGTTCGAGTCTAAATTGATCGGGTGGTCGGACACAATCTAATAGTAGTACATATTTAGGGGTGAAAAAAGCTAAATCTGTCACCTGGCTCCTTCCACGCAAGATGACTAGGATCAAAATAGTTCACAAGGGAAAAAATTGGCAAAAATCTAACCTCTAAAAATACATTCCCAACATTAACATACAGAATCCAAGCTACGAATGCTCAAATTAACATTATCGAAAGGTCTATAATACTTTCCTCAAGTAAAAGTTCACCTAAATCGTGATGAAGAGAATAAGAAATGGACATTTGAAATAAAAATTGTATTAAGAACTGCAGATTTTAAAGTTCTTTTCAATTTTCTCAATTCAATTTTTAGAATTGAAAGGCTAATAAAAAAAATAGAACATAAATTTTGCCACGGTGAAGTTTTCTAGACCCACCCTGATGAAGGGAGTTTAGAGAACCAAGTAATGTTTGTCTGCGGCATGAAGCCATTTTGTGTTACTGGACCATCTCGACAATAGCAAACTATTCAATACGAACTATTATTTGAGTACTATTTTAGCATCACAAACAGTTGATAGGAAAAACTTACTTTCTCTCAATGCTCTACCTCCAATAACTCCCGTAGGCCCGCTACCAACCTCGCTCAACTGAAAGGACACAAAGTAATAATCAAATAGAGATAAAAATATAGAAACATGTCATTCATGCAAAGGAGTTCTACAAGGTTTCTAACCCTTTCAAATGAAGAAACAAGATCGTCAATATCAGATGGAGGTCTAAAGTCCTCACTCTGCAAACCATAGAAAGGAGTTAGTTAAATCCAATTATGTAGCACTTATGAACTATAAATGATTACCAAACATTTGAGTTACTTCTTAATATAAAATGGCACATTTTGTAACAGAGCAAAAAAATACCACAGTATCTCAAAGGTGACTTGTGCAATAAGAGAAGGAGAAAGTGACAAGCTTGCTCGATGCTTTATAAAAGTTCCAAGATTACATCAGCAACAGTTTTTCTCATCAAGACTACCAAATGTAACTTCAAAACTTACAATTGTATGAGATAAATCCATGAATTCCCACACCCACTTATTATGTTGTCTGGATTAACCTAAAACTGATAT